CGTTTCGTTACGATATAGAATCATGAGGACTGTATCCAATTCTTCATTTCTGTAATGAATTATGTGTTTCCTCCAATCTACGCGGATAGAAGGAGTTGATAAAAGATCTGATTTTTCAAAGTATATATGAAAAATGTATTATTTCCATTCTCTATTTATTGTTTGAGGTAAACTGTTTGCATGTTGTAAACATTTATTTCGGAGCTTTTACTCTTCATAACAAATTGCTTAGATATTTCTCTTTCTTTCGCTTTTTCGATTATTAAAGTTTTAATCAATCTTAAAAGCTAAACTTTCAAGAATGTAGTTTAGAGCCAATATTCATAATCGGTTTTTATTTCAAGACCGTCTTAAGTAATGTCTTAAGACGCTAATACGATTCTCTGGCCGGTATTTATAGTCAGATCTTATATTCAAGATCTTAAGTACAGTTTTAAAGTCATGGACCAATGAGAGAGCTGTATTAGTGTCTTAAGACATTATTTAAGACAATTTTGAAATAAAATCGGACTATGAATATCGCTCTCTGATTGGTTCATGACATCTTAAGACTTTACTTAAGACGGTCTTAAATATAAGATTCGACTATGAATATCGGCCTAAATCTCTTTTTATTGACAGTACAGTTCTTGCGATTGAATGACAGTAACGATAGCTTATGTCTGAACACGATTATATAATAGTAAATAATTAGACTTAGACAAGCCATTGCTAGATTAGATAGCGAAACGTAACGAGCGCTAGATATTCATAGAACGTTACATTATACCTAGCTATTTCATCGAGAATCACCCTCCTATTTATCACACCTGTGAGTTTCCCGACGGAGGAGTATAGTGAGTAGCGATATTGTATGTTATATAGACACTAGTTACGTCAACTATATTATCCTAGTCAACCGATCAGTTTGACGGAAGTGTATGCCGCAATAATAATAACGCTCTCTGATTTTGTTCGATGTGTCTTTGTTATTGCGAAGGAGGCATTACTTGTTTATTGGCTGTTAAGCTTTGTTAATAAAATATTACAAAATTTTACATTGAACGCCGACGTCTTTTATTGCACTTTTTCCACCAGTCTCATAAAAAAGAAAGATTTATCTAAAATAATAAGTTATTCTTTTTAAAAAAGAAAAATTTATTTAAATAAATCATTTTTCTTTTACCAACTAATTTTTCATCAATTAAAAATATTGTTTGTTATATATTTTACTTTAGAAGCACTTAATATATTTAATCTTTAAATACACCTCCCTTGAGCATCTATTAATAGTACACAGATGGGATTTGACATTTTTAATTACAAGTCTCTCGAGGATTAAAACAGAAATTTCTTTAAAACCACTTTTTTCTGAGGTATAATTTTCTCACAAATCTAATGGTGTCACTCAAATTTAATGAAAAAGCATATTTAATGTAGTAGGGATAAACTGTTTATGCGTAACTGTTAATAATTTGAAAATTTTCGTGGTGCGAATCCGTACTAATGTACGATTTGAAGGTTAAAAATATAATATTTATTGTATTTTCTATGAATCAGAATTATTATAAAAAAATTTTAATTAAAAATTAATTTTTTTATTATTTCTGGTCATTTCTTCTAGACCATTTTTTCACGTTGTTTCTTATTTTTATTAATATTTTAACTAAAAACTCAGATAAAATTATTAAAAATGATAATTAGATTAATTTTATCAATTAAAAAAAATCTTTTTTTTTATATATGCTGATAAGACAATTATAGTTATCACGATAAGGTAACACTGTCAGCTGCGCTGATAAAGTCGCGGTCTTCCACCAGTCGGCAGCACCAGCGAGAATTCTAGGCTTGTAACAAGTAAGATGGCCTCCACCGACTCCAGTTTATCAAGTGAAAATCCCGCCAAGAAGGAGGATGAATTTAACGAATTTTACTCGGAGGTACACGACTTCCCGTTAATTTCAGCACCGTTTTATATATGTTTCCACTGGCGAAACGATACTCGACCTTTTGTTGTTAAACAGACACGTAAACAAACTCGAAGCAATAACTTCGACAAGTATCACTTTACATTGGGAATAAAATGACAACGGTCATCTCTTAAAGTCTATATGTGTTTTAATTGCCCTACAATTATCGTATATAACCATGTCGAGTCTTGCGAGTAATATTATTACTATAAACTACATTAGACTTGCCTAACCTAAATAGATATGTTTGTGTTAGTTTATGTTGAAGTTCTCATGGTTTCCTTGTGGGAAATGTGTTTTATTTTTTTCTATATTATACTTTATAGAATTATTATTAGAATTAGTTTTACAATTAAACATATATTCTATCAATCTTTTTCTAACAAAATTTATATTTATTCAATTTGTAAGTACATTTCTCTTGTTTTATCTTGATGTAAAGATAAATGTGAAATACTTGTAAAAGATTTATTGTTTAATAACTTCCATTTGCAAGAATTAGTTACATTTATACTTTTCTTGTATTCTATATTATTTATTTTGTTATATTG